GGTTCCCCGTAAACCCAGCGACACGATGGACGGGCTCAGAAGGACGCGCCCCTCCCCGTGTTTGGTGAAGGATACGGACCCTGCCAGCACAGACTCAGTATTAACGCAAGCATGGCTCTCCAGTCCGCGGTCCTGCTATTTATCTATATTTAATACAAAACGTGTTTGCTTTTGGAGTTTTTTTTCTGTATATAGAGCAGCATGCACCTGCCCGGCGAACTGCCAGCATTGGGAGAATGTGGGATCTACTGTAATTCCAATTCTGGGATGATATTTAATGCTTTCCAGTTTTATTATTTAAATTCTGGGTATTGGATTTGCAAAGGTTTACGAACACTTCAGGTTGATCAGTAATATAGACCGAATGCTGTTTTTTGAAAGCATTTGTTTAAGGCATATTTTCAGTGGCAATACTAACCTGCGTGTACTGTGAAAAAAACGCCCATCTTTTTACCATACTGCTGCTATATACACTTTGAAAAAGCTATTTAAAGACGTGAAATCCTCTTCTGAAAACAAAAACAAGTAAGCAAACCTCGTTGTTAAATGGCAGGGAAGTCTGCTTGCCCTCTTCTAGGGAGACCAGGTCATCTCTCTAGTCCTGGAAAAAGACCTAAAATAAACCATTCGATACGCAGCTACTTCAGCCCCTCTTCAATAACAAATACACTGCCCTTTGGGTTGGTTTTTCGAGACACCACTTTTCCTTAAGATGGCCTTGATCAGTGGCAGTTAGTGCAGTTGCACTTTGGTTTCTGTTTTCAGTTGTTTTTTGTTCCTGGTGCCGTTCTGGAAAGGGGAGGACAGGCCCAGCAGAAATATTAAATACTTTCTTTAGATGCTGCGCTTGTACCAACACTTAAGAGAATGCGAACACTCGTTCAGGAGGATGGCAGAGGACAAATACTGACTCCTGTCCTGCTTAACTCCTTGTGCTTCTTGAACTTACTCATTCAAATAAGCTTGTTGTGGGTGCTGTAACATCAGTACCTCCTCGGGCCAGCTGCAGTACTGTGAGCTGCTTTAGGCCGCGTCTCCCCCAATGGCGAAGGCTTCCTTTGGGCTAGCACAAAGCCCAGATAGGGCACACGCTTTGCCAGAATGTGATCTGAAATGATGCCCTTCTCCCAGTAAGTGTGCTCATCAAGAAATACATATATGCACTACAGACTTGAAATGGTTTCGTCTGTTCTTCTGTTGCTGCGGGGCTAGCAAAATGACCTTTACAGCGTCACTGTCCTGTGGGCATGAACAATAAATTGCAATTTGCATATTCTGAACAACTCTCACACTAGCTGGGCTGTATCTTGCTACGTTAACTTTTGACTTTTGCACACCCTGTGAGGTTGGGGTTTTTTTAATCCTTTGAACTCTCCAGTTGTGAAACGTAAGCTGTTTTACTTTGAGAGTGGTGCTGGAGCCTGCTGGATCTGAGCAGTGGACCTGGTTCTCCAGGGGTGGGGAGCTGTGCACATGGCGAGTCACTTGAGTTCTGCAGCATGAGAAACTCCGATTAAAAACGCAAGAAGGATTCCACCCGTGGAGCTGCGGGTAAATGCAGTAACTTCTGTCACGCTGATGTTTCAGTTACGTACTAGGTAAGGTGATGTGTGGTTCTGTTTCTTTTACTGACAAATGTCTTCTCATAAAGGAAAGGCTGCACAATTCTTCAGATTTTCTGTAGTCAAAGATGTGAACAAACTTGTAAATTATTATTTTAATTTTCCATTTTAAGCTTGTAGGGATTCACAAACCTTAATTAAATCAACAGAAGTTAGGGAAGATTTCAAGAATCAAGACCTCTTTACCCTGCATGTACAATAATAATGATGGCTTGCTCCAAAACCATTTTTTACCAGCTGGTCATGTAACCAGCAGAGGTTAAAGCTGCATGAAACCTGTACGATGTACAGTCACCAGGCTCTATGTGCAATGTTTGTCTAATAGACTCCTGCACTGCACCGCCTAAACTTTTTGGCACAAGATTGTGTCTTATTACTGTTACGCAAGTCCTATGTACTCTCCCTTAGGACGCCCAGTAGTTTGCCTTATACAGAAAACTTTTGGCAACACCTGTACTGCAGAAACCTCCTCCCTGCCTCATGGGTTTGGTTTATCATGGCTGCAAACTAGTGATTGCTCCTGAAATCTGAGATCTCGCTGCATGAGATGTGCAACAGAACTAGGAGATTTGAGGCATGCATACTAGCTGTGCGGTGGGAGCATCCCTCAACCTTAAATAGACACTTGGCGCCTTCATCACAAAAAGGAAAATTTTAATTTATAGCAATAGAGATTATTTCATCAGTTAATGAACATGAGTTAAGTATCTCCCCTAGCACGCACCAATATTTGCATCCGTCAAGTATTAAATAAGTTATGTAAGTTTGTTGTAAAACTGACTTTACACATAGTAGCTGCTTGGAGTACTTCAAACTTTGAGGGCTGTAAATTATCTATGATACTCCACTTCTGAATTGGAGCAGCCAATGTATTTCCATTGAACAATGCCACTCTCTATTACAGCAGCAGTAGCCGATGCTCTGCGCACTCTGGGGGCAGCTTGAGGCTACCTCGGACCACTGCCACCAAGTAAATGAATTCGAAAATGTTAAGGCAGAACTTCATTTCTGTCTCTTCAGAGGTGCCTGATAAGCTGCTCTAACATCACTTCTTCTATAACATGTGGCTTTTCAGCTTTTCTGCTTGAAAGAAACAGTAACTTGTAGCTATAACATGCCACAATTATTTGGCAGAGGAAAAAAAACCCATTAATTAAGTCATACAGTAGCAGTTGCTGTTCATTGCAGCTTAAATAGTGAGTCCAGGACCTGACTGATGGTCGTTTGCAGTTATGAGCAAAAGCCAGACGGACAAAGGCATGCAGCATCAGTTAACCTTGATAAAGAGCTTTGAAAACTGTGAGAGCAGTGCAATGAATGTGCAAAACTAGTAAAAATAATTAAAACTTTAAAATAAAAATTGTTCTAGGAATACAAACATGTAATGAAAAAAATGGCCTTTGAAGTTATACTGTTTTTAACATCTGAGCCGCTTGGCTCTCCTGCAGTCAGTGCTCTCTTGCAGTCCAGATCATAACACTGAGCACACTGTCCGTTTCTTCTGGCGCTTGGCTTTCTTCATGGCATTCAGGGCAATGGTTGTTGCTTCTTTAAAAACATTTTCTATGTTTTCACGACATTTTGCTGAGCACTCCAGATAAACTTCTGCATTAATCTGCTGACAAGCTGCTTCACCCTGGAAAGAATGAAAGGTAAGAAAAAACGTTAAACCCAATGTATGAAAGAAGGAAGGCGAGATCAGAATGAAAGGGAATTATTTTGTACATCTTCATATCATGAGGTCAGGAAGAAAGATGCTGCCTCTGACTATGCTGCTAGAGCATAAGCAGCATTGGTAATAAACTGAGGCACTGCTAAATAAACTCGGGTTTTCCCCTATGTTGATCTAGAGCCTGGCCTACAGTTCAGTGCATTAGACACTCTAAGATGCAGACTGCTGATAGTGTAAAAATATTCTCGGGATTAAATTTGTTTGAAAGAAATGCTGAGGTAGATGTTTAAGTAAAGATAAGATGTCTACACAGCGGTATTTTTTCAGCCCTGACCTTAACTATTATGTCGTGTCACCTTTAGTAATGAATGACCCATGCAAAAGCAGAATCTGGACCGATGTGTTGCCTTGTTTTGCTGGTGCACGTTCAGGATCCCTGACTTTAGCTTGGAAGCATTACAAAGGCTCAGGTGAAATCCTCGTATATTCTCGGCCTCACCCAAATGCATGCAATGGGAACAGACTAGAATCTAAAACATTTGCATGCAGTCCTGGTTGTGCGAAATCACTACAGACAAACCACAGTGATTTCTTAGTTTGTTTGTGATCCTTTTATCATCACTGAAGAGCCAGCCCCCAGTTTTGAACGCTTGTGAGCCCTGGAGTGTGAATTCCAGGTCCGCAACCCACAGCCTCTGCATTTATTCATTATGAGCCCTGGGAGTGGGGTCACTTGAGTGCTCAGGCTTCCATGGGGGGATTTTTCTTCAGTGTGTTTAAGCAAAGTTTGTCTCCTTCCAGTTGTTTGCAAGCTGCAGTGCTGGCAGATATTGTTCAGCTCCTCTGTGCCTGGCAGTGGAAGCATCACGTCGTGTGACTCAAGATGTCACCACCTGTAAAGGACTGAGGTAGTGTATATTTAAGGGGAGAAAAGCCAAGTGGAGGGCTCATGCAGGAGACAAAGTTTTTACATCATGTGGGCCCCAGAATTTAATTGCATGAGGCCTCAGCAGACTCGCCAAAAGTGTCTGTTGCCTGCCCTGAACCTCACATGTGAGGGTGATGGAGCTATTGATGCAAATCAGGGACAATTTGCGGCTGTTCACAAAGCAGCAGGAGAGGCGTCTCATCTTGTGCGCAAGGAAGGCAAGCTAAAAGTCCCAGCATGGTTTTGTAGTGATGCAGTTGCAGTTTCTTTATGCGCTCTTTAGAAAAAGGAGTGATTCGTTCAAGGTCTTACTGCACTTCACCTTGTTCCCTGGACTTGTGTCTCGAACAGTTCGAGAGCTGCTGCTGTTCTTGCTCTGAGATGAGAGGAGAAGGATGGCTTTGTAGTTTAAAAAAAAATAAGTGGGAGACCAGAGCAGAAAGGTCTGGCATGACATGGGACAAGCTGTTCCACCGCTGACTGTTTCTCCTGTAACTGGGACAGCTATGCCTGTCTTGTAACGCCAGCTGTAAGTCTCACTGCTTTCTAATGCTTAAGTTGAAAATATTTGATAATACGTAGGGGTTTTTTTAAGATTACTTCAGAGACTTCAAAGAAAAGTCTGTGATGTTAGAGAAGCCTTGCAGATGTTTTTGCTGTTGTCCTTTAAAGGATTTATTTTTAAATAGGGTTTAAAAACACATTTTTTCCAGAACAGGCAGGATTTTTAATCCTGTAATGTATATCCTAGCATCTCCAGTCTTTCTCAGAATCCTGATCAAAGCACCAGTGATGAGAGCAATGTACCCTAATAAAAATTATGAAGGGAGTCCAACAAACAAATTTGTAACAGTAATAACCCAGTTGTGAAAGGAAACAAGAATGAGATGTAATGATCCTAGAAGGTGTAGCTAGTAGTTCCCTTTCAGACACCCCAAGACAGGAAAAACACTCTTCACATTTCTCTCTACTTTGGTACTAAAACTGAGTGGCAATTTGGATGCTTCCAGAAAGGACTTACAGAAACCCCTGTTAATGCTGACTGTCAATAATTTCTTTATCTGTGCACCATGATCACTAATTTTGGAGTGTCTGTGATTGCACTTGTGAGCAACGATGCCACTGAAGCGTGCTTTCTCTCTTAAAGATGACACCATTTTAAATGCACTTGTGTTTACCTGGCTGTAAGTAATGGGTTCCTGCTTAGAAGCCCTGAGCTTGCGCAGCTGTTCTTTGTCTTTCCGAAGGTCTGTCTTGCAGCCGATCAGTACAACCGGGACGCCTCGGCAGAAGTGATTCACTTCAGGATACCACTGATGGTAGAAAAACAAAACTTTTACATCTGTTTTTTTTCTGAAATAGAATCATTAAACCCAAGGAACAGAACAAGCATTTAATATATGCTGCAATTTCAGAGTTTTGAAAGTTGTTAATCTAGTGGTAGGGGCCCAATATGCACCACTTACATTACAGAAACAATTAAAAGTCCTGCCCAAAGTCAGCTGCTTTATAAAAATACAGGTGGCAACTGTCACTATGCCAAAGCACTTATTAAACATCTGGTCAAATTCACAAGAGCTCCTCTGAAGTTGTATTTAAGCGCAGAATTTGGGGCAAGTCTTGCTTTCTTTTGCTGGTGTTACGTACAGTAACGCTAACTTCAGCTTTGGAGCATTACAGAAATCCTAGTACAGACAAGTGGTTGCTTACATCTCCCCCCTGTAGGTAAATATGCATGGGATGGAAGTAGACTTGAATCTAAAATGCTTGTGTGCAGTCTTGGTTGTGAGACATTGCTACAGCTAAAGCTGCGATTTTACCGCTGGTGTTCGATCTCTTCAGCGTACTGCAGCGTCACTCCCGGTTCTCGGCGCTTACGAGCTGTGGAGAGGTGAGCTCCAGGTCTAAGGTCTGTGATCTGTGCATCTACACGCCTGGGGCGCAGGACACTAAAAGCACTGGCTTTTTTAATCCGACACCCTGTCATCATATATCAGGCGTGTGTAATTCATTTAAAAGGTTGAAGCAATTATGAGAACTGCTTACCTTAGCTGCTACGTTATCATAGCTAGTGGGGTTCATGACATCGTAACAAATTAACACGACGTTTGTGTTCTGGTAAGAAAGCGGTCGTAGCCGATCGTAGTCCTCCTGCCCTGAAACACAGAGTGTTTTGGATAAAAGAAATCTCTGTCTTTAACAAGCAGTATGATGGGAATATGTAATGATAGGTACTTGAGATCAAGAACAATGGTACTATAATTGCATAGACTGCAAGTTTTTCATACTTATAAAATCCCTTCCCTTAAATGCAGGTGATTCCTCTCCACTGACAAACCTGATGCTGTAGAATATAAAACATGCCCTTGGCAAGTTCTAATAAAAAGCCTGCTTTGCCCAACTGCTAAGTACTTAGAAGCAGCTCTAATCACTGATTGCCAAGTTGCTGCTCACAAGAAAAATCAGCAAAAGGAATCTGACAGTTATCGATTAAAACACTTGCAATTTGGCAGTGGTTCCATTCTCCCAAATACATTTGCACATGTGATGCTGCGAGGAGAAGAAACACAGTATTTTCTGTGCGAGGAAGCGGCAATGAACACACTATGCCTTCAGCGCCACTCTCACCACAGCAGCACGCATGTCACTTTACAAGACACGCTGCAACAGGAGCCAGGCTGAAGTGGTCTTTGAAGCAGAACTACACAGCAGGTCTTGGGGATGCTGCCGAATTCTGGAAAAGCAGGGGTTCCGCAACACTTCTCATTAGGGGTGTTCTAGCACGTGCTCTGACAAAAGGAAGCTAACTTGCTTCAGACCTGGACTCTTCCCCTTGCTGTACATACGCCTTAGCAGTAATCACCGTGCTGGGGTCTGAAAGTGTCTTGCTTTGAGAGATTAAGCTCAAGAACGCAGTAATTACCAGATATAGTTGGCAGCTCAGGAATAAAACCCAATCTTTTCCATTTGAATTTTTTTTCAGAGACTTAATAAGGAAGAAACTGTGATTTAAGCAGTGTGTAAAGAGCATCTGCCACCTGAATGCTGCCCCTGGAATCAGGTACGTCTCTGTGATGCCCCGAATTTCCAAAGTGCAGACTGGGACTGCCATTCCTTCCCACGATCACCACCATGCACACATAGCCCAAAAACTGCTCTACAGGGAAGTTACACATCTCAACTCTTTCTACTGATATTTCAAGCGAAGGGATGCTGAAAATTTCAGCGTGCCCCAACTTTATAAGAGTTATTCCTGCGCTGGCACCTGGGTCAGTCCTAAGTCACACACTCATCACTCCAGCCAACACACCTGTCTCCAGCTGCAGTTTGAAGAACTGCAGATACCAGAAGGTGAATAATTCTACATTACTTTGCTCCCCTCCTTAATTTAAATGGTGGTTGGAGATACGGGTTAATACAAGGCAATCCCTACTGGATAAGCCATTACTCAGTTTGCCTGAGATGTTTGTAAACTGGGAATCTTGGATTTGGACCACTGTGTATTTGAGCTCCCATAAGAGCAGCATCCTCTGTGGGCGAGGTGCAGAACAAAGAAGGATTGATTCCCTCAAGGTTTAATCCAGAAATAATAGACAATTGACAAAACTATGCATGTTGTATAAACATTCAGAGCAAAGACTGTACTGCTTAGCCCTTCTTAGTCTCCAAAATCCACCTACTTCTTTGCAACCGATTTACCATTTTGTTATTGAGTTAATCCTCTTAAATGCATTAAACACATCAGGTGCCAAACATGATTTTGGTTTTTTTAGAATCATAGAATTGTTTAGGTTGGAGGAGACAGTCAAGATCATAGAGTCCAACCATTAACCTAACAATGTCAATTCCACCACTAAACCAGATCCATAAGCTCTGTATCTACACATCTTTTAAATACTCCCAGGGATGGTGCCTCAACCCCTTCCCTAGGCAGCCTGTTCCAATGCTTTACAACTCTTTCAGTGAAGAAATTTTTCCTAATACCCAATCTAAATCTCCCCTGGCACAACTTGAGGCCATTTCCCCTTGTCCTATTGCCCGTTTTCTCCTAGCTTCCTCTAGTGTTATGTACTGTGTATGAATTTCCCTGTTCAAGTTCATGCCTCTGAGCCTCTACCAAAATAGCTTGTAAAATCAGAACGTCCTCCAAGCTATTGCTGGCAATTTGTGAGGCAGACAGGACTGTCCCCTTGGAAGAAACTTGTTAGTTTGCTTGGAATTGGAACATACAGTTAAAACCATACTCTTCTGGACAGGATAACAGACGAGGTGTCTTCAGTGATGCGACACAAATATGCTGTATTGCAAGTCAAAAACTATAGACGTGCCCCAGTCAACAGCACCTTCATTTTCAAAACCAGCTCTGCAGTTATGTTTAAGCAAACCGAGAAAATAAACGTGTGAGAAAATGCTGCTGTGTAAAATGTCGCTCCATGTGTATCTGGAACTTCAAATATAGAGCACAGAACAAGGTATAGTGCAGACATCACAGGGGGAAGGTTAGATGGTAATTGCTTAACTTGTGTTACGGTCGGATGATTGCAGCGCTCGCTTGGGAGGCGAGGAAGCTATTCTGTGAGAGCTCAGATGCAGTTCTTCAGGTGCTGAGGATGTAACAGGACCCAGATCAAGCTGTGTCGAAACATCGACATCCCTCACACTGAAAACGATCCCTTTCACCCCCTCTCCTTAAGTGCTGCTGATGAAATGCAAGAAAAGGGCCTGGGAGACCTTTTCTCTGTAAAGCTGCTCAGTCTATGGTCAGAGCTAATTTGGCACAGATTTAGCTCTTCTAGTAGAAGAGCGTTAAAATGAAGGCACAGGGCGGAACCCAAGCAGTAACTGAACGTATATGCAAAGCCCCCGAGTGCGCTTCCTCAAGCACAGGTAGCTGTTTTCGTTCCCCAATTAACAAAAAGCATGCTGTAGAAGAATCAGTCAAGTATATTCTTATGTGTGAGCATATCTGGGACCCTCCTCTGCCTTCCTCAATTCATTGAAGCATCACAGACCCTGTTTGGGTTTTTTTTAAAGAAAAAGCTCCCCCCAGCTGAATTCACCTAAAATTTTCTAATTCTTTGCAAAGATCTCACTTCTGCATGCCTCTGAGGTGCTGCATAACCCACATCTCTGCAGTTGGGCCCTGTGGTGGGGTGGGACCTCAGGTGATGGTTGGGGGTGAGCAGGGGAAGAAGTGAAACCACAGGTCTTGGTCTCACGTGCACATTCACCTCTGTCTGCTCCTCCTCACCCCTTCACCAATTCACCACCGAGGAAGCCCCAGCCTGTGTGTTGCTCGGTCCGTAAAGGAGCTCAGAACCCACTGCCATCGACAGGAGAGGGTAAATAACAGAGTCAAGACTTGCCAGCCTGGGAGTCTACCCATATGTGCTGCCCTAATGTATGGCAGTGTGATCCATCGTCACCAACCGCCAGCGCGTAAGGAAGGATGTAAGATCCTGCCACCCGGTCCAGGCCAGCCAACCACTTCCTGCGTACAGCCACGCGTCGTCTGTAGTATTCCACGCTCACAGTTTGGTATCGACACGGAACCACACGATGGGGAGCTCTCACAGACAAAGAGAAATGCACCCAGTTTTCTTTGGTTTGTTATTCTGCAGGCTCCATGGGAATACCATGGTTATTGGCTGGGCAGCCACGTTTTTTCACTACTCAATTTAGAAAAAACTGGGAGACTGACTTTCTTCTTAGCAGGAATAAAGCCAGCAGAAGAGGACACTTGGGGTGGGGGGACACACTGCAATTAAAAAGTTGGGGCATTTTGTCTTCCTCAGGCACGCTCTCAAAGTTATGAAAAATTATTCTTGCATATACCGGCTTTTAAAATTTCTCTTACGGCCTCAGGCTGCCGTGCGTCTGTCATTACAGACCTGAAAAACCCCGCTGGAGGCTTTGCTGGTGCTTCCTGCCAGTCAGAGCAAGCACCCGCAACGATGAGGCATTGCTTCCTCCCCAGCCCAGCAGAGCTCTGCTCCTCGCTCTTGAGAAAGTCCTGCACTGAACTGAACCCTGGTCCTAGCTGCAGCTAAAGCACCAGCACTGCTCCCTGAGGATGTGAAACGCTGCAGAGTTCATTTACCTCTCAGTGCCTTGGCCTCTGTTGAGCACAGCAAGCAATGGGGAACTTTTAACTGAAGCAGCAGCTTGCAAAGGCTGTTTGCAGACGAGACAAGTGATATTACAAAGCCTTTACACGTTGCGTATGTATACCACCAACTTCCTGCCACAGCAAGAGGTGTCTCTGATGAGGAAGACAGAGTAGCACGGTAGAAAAGTCTCACAAAAAGTTGTTATTCTAGCATATTTTAGCCTATCTATCTCATTGACTTCATTTGTTATCCAAATTCTTGTCAAGAAAAAAAAATACCTTTTGCAGCTTGAAATATTTGATTCTCAGACACTCACTTTGTGTCCTCCTCCTCCAGTAAGCAGGACAAGCTCAACGTCTCAAGCTGCACAGGACCTGACAATACAAAGAATCCTTCTAACTTTGAACAGCCCACAGAGCTGAACTTGTCCTTTACCTTCCCATGATGCTGAAGTACGTGCAGCTCTATTTAGTGTTGCTCTTAGCAAGATCCTAAAAATGCCCAAGTCCCTTCTGCAGTGGGTGCATCATGAAGATCCAGTGACACCTGTTAGAAGAGCAGCTTTGCCTTCTCCTCCCCTACACTGCTACATGGCACTTAGCTGAGGCCCTCCACCTCAGAAATGCTTTTACATCCTTTTGATCCTATTTAAATGACTTTATGATAATCTGAATGATTTGGGAACCTTTCAGACTGAGAAGCAAAACACAAGTGTAAAGCTGTTTTAGGATTTTACAGAAGAGCAAGACCAACTCAAGCAGTTCAGTAAGTGCAGAGATGATCTATAAAATACGGCCGATACGCTGCACTGTTAAACCACTCTACTTCCAGTAGTAAGTTGTATGTTTAGACTCCTCTTCAAGCTGCAAGTGCTGCTGCACACCCATCCCAGAGCATCATCACCCAGCTGAGAGAGGAATTTAACAAGCTGCTGCTGCGGCATGATACGACAGAAGCAAGTCTGCACGGTGAAACACTGATTCCAAAGCTGCATCTCCGTGCTGCACCCACGCGGCAAGAGGGACAGGAGCTCTCTCGTCTCCTGAACTGGATGCTTCCCTTGCTCTTTTCTTACTGCACTGTTTGAACTTGAAGGACAGGACGCAACTCCTGGTCCTAGTCCAACCCTTCAGGAACTCAACATCAGGTTTGTATCATTAAAAACAGGATGGGATTAAAATGTGTGCTCAAGTGAGTTCTTCCTCTAGCATAACTTCCAGTTTCAGAACGAGAATGAAAAGCTGCTTGAATTGCAGAGTGTGACACAGATCTGTAACATAAAACTATGTAAGCAGCTTTGAAACAGAACCAAACCTCAAGTCTTTCTCCCTCCCAAGCAAATGCCTTCACCAAGGTGGCAATGTTCCCCCTTTCTTTGCACGTGATAATCTTGATGTGTCTCATGTGAAGCGAAAGAAATTTAACAGGAAGGGAGGAGACAAGTGTCAGCAACCTCTAGCAACTTATAGCCTGGTGGCCTTGACACTGTTCTGGGAGGCGAAACATGCTGGGTTTTCACGGTTTCCAGATGAGAGATGGAAAGCAGTCGCTCTTTCATGGCTAAGAGCTCTGCCAGCTAGGCAACAATGGCATCTCCTCTTCCCAAAGTATCTTACCAGACACAAAATACGCCCGACCGACTCCATTCTTCAGTGGGGCAGTGCTTTGGTCCAGACAGTGTTTATAGCTGTGAACTAGATGTGGAAGGGTAGACGCTTTCTGCTAAAGTTACATGCCTGAACATGGAAATGGGGTAAGACACGCAACCAGCATGGGGTTCAGCGAGCGCTTCCCCGGCGGCTGGTGGCTGTAGGTCTTGCACGGAGCTGAACTCCTGGTGTGATGCAAGGAGCTGGGCACTTGTGTCAGGCTTGTGAGAGTTCAGTGCTGCAATACCTGAACTTGCCCTACGACCACCGTTTCTGGATCCAGACCGTGCTCCCTGAAGCCTGGAAGAAACTCCAAAGGCAAATGTTGGAAGCTGCAGCACAGTGATTTTAAATGAGAGCGGGCTGAGTATCAAGAACTGTGTGACAGGCAAAAATTCCACACAGACAGCAAACAGACATAAAACCTCGACAAGTGCACTGTGGAAAGCCCTTTGTGCCAACCCACTATATTATGGAAAGCCCCTTTGCTTGCTCACACTAGATTTCAGCCCTCGTCTTTTCCTTTAAGACTTAAAAACACAAAAGCCTTGCCATTCAGTAGCAGTTGTACTATGCAAAGCACTGGGCTCGAGAACAGTAACATTGACACAAGAAGATACATCGGCAAATCGGGTGCTCAGGATCTTACTATACTGCAGTAAAGATTAGCCATAAAATTCACTTTTATATTAAAAACCTTTTTACAATGAGCTAGTCAGATACCATGTACAATATGCAAGAAGGTAAGTGTGTTTTACTACTGTTAAAAAAATGAATACAGACTGCATTCGGGTTTTATTTGTCTTGGTGTAAGTCTGGAACAACCACACAGGCCTGAACTGAAACAGATGATTTACACTGAGCTGAAACGGAGTGTGTGTCAACTTTAGGGTTCGTTTAGGAACGCAGCTGGATAACAGAGTCTAGGAACTTCGAATGAAGTTGAACACAAACCATTTCACAAGTTCCTGAAGTGAACCCAAGCAAACTACCAGCATTTTCAAATAACTTTTAGTGCTACAGCCTTTCTATTTTGAACACAAACCAGCCTTTTTCTCCTTCGCTATTCAATGACACACGGCAGGAGATTAAACTGTTTTCCTGGTTGATTGTATTATGCTTTGCATCTGGGAACTGGGGTTTAACACCTTCAGATATGTTTGCTATTTGATGTGATTTTGTTAATAAACCGGCCTGTTACGATAACGAACGAGTCCGTGGCTAGAACTGCCAGTGGACAAGAGACCGTTTTTTCCCGACAGGCACAATTACGCCTGCAACAAGTAACGGCTGTTTTGTTTGCACTTCGATCACCCCAATACCATGCTAAAAGGATGCGAGTGGAAAAGCAGCTTGAGAATCCGTCCAGCTGCACAGTCGTGTAGCATCGGTCCTGTCTGAGCTGACAGAGCTGGGGCTGGCGGAACAGAAATAGGGGCACGTTCTCAGGAACTGCATTTCACACCGGTTAACGGCAGCTTCTGCTTATTCGAAATGATGAAAACCCGGGGGCTGGGGCTGGGCTGAGGCCCAGCAACCCCCTCCCGCAGTCCGGGGGTCGGGAGCAGGGACAGCGCGCGGGCCGAGCCCCCTTACCTGCGG